TAATTGGCTTAAGTTTAATTTGCATATAAATAATATCAGTGAACTGGAAAAGTGTATTAATAAAGAATACTAAATTATTTTATATTTTTAATAAAATATATATTCAATATCTTACAGAAGCTACGGGATTTGGGATAAGGCATTTGCAATGCTTTCTACTCTTTGGCGCTCTGTCTGTCGGCTACGCCTTACGTGTGAATCTCTCAGTAGCAATTGTTGCTATGACGGATAAAAATGCCACCAATCCTGATTTTATGGTAACCTTTAAATAAAATTAATTGATATAATTAATATTATTAAATAATATATTAAATTTTTAGGAATACGATTGGTCAGAAAAAACGAAATCACTTCTACTGAGTAGTTTCTTTTGGGGCTATATTTGTACACAGATACCAGCGGGTCAATTAGCACGTAAATTTGGTCCAAAAGTAATGCTACTGTGGGGTTTGTTGCTTGCTTCAGTATTAACGGTTCTAACACCTTTGATCACTCATATTGGTAATTGGCAGCTTTTATTTTTTATGCGTGTTCTGCAAGGACTAAGTCAAGGAGTAGTGTATCCTTCAGTTCATACAATTCTCTCAAAATGGTCACCACCCGACGAGCGTGGACAATTAAGCACCTATTGTTATTCAGGCACACAATTCGGTACAGTAGTGATGTTGGCTATTAGTGGTTATCTAGCTTCATCATTTTTGGGTTGGCCAAGTATATTTTATGTATCGGGTGGTATTGGCATATTATGGGTTGTTGCATGGAAAGTATGGGGTGCAAATTCACCAAGCGAGTACAAGTCTATATCTGCAGAGGAAAAAAAATTCATTCAAACATCATTAGATGCGGATAGCAATTCTAAAGAAAACGCTAAGCCTGCAAAGATACCATGGGCTCAATTTTTCACATCAGTGCCGTTTTTAGTGTTGATATTAGTGCACAGTACGCAAAATTGGGGTTTCTGGACTTTGTTGACTCAAATACCTTCGTATATGAAAAATATACTCGGTATGGACATCAAGAGTAATGCGCTGTTATCTGCTTTGCCTTACACAGTCATGTTGCTGCTAAGTTTTGTGTTCTCTAGCATTTCTGCACTGTTAAATAAAAAGAAATACTTGAAGAGATCTGTGAGTCGTAAATTGTTTAACACAATTGGTCACTGGATACCAATGATATCCTTAGTAGCGTTCGGATACGTAGGACCTGACAAACTTGGATTAGCAATTTTTCTATTAACAATCACTGTGGGCATTAATTCGGCTACATATCTGGGCTATCAGGTTAATCACATCGATTTATCGCCTAACTATGCTGGTGTGTTAATGGGCATCACCAATTGTATATCCAATATTGTTAGTCTAAAGGCACCACTAGTCGTTGGCTTTATTGTTACAAATGAGGTGAAATAGTTAAATCATATTAGGAGTGAACTTTTAATATTTTTTTCATTTTAGAAAAGTGCTGAACAGTGGCGTATTATATTTTTTATTGCTGCATTTTTTTACTTAATTGGAAATTTATTGTTCATAATTTTCGGCAGAACAAGCGTGCAACCATGGAATAATCCAACAGAGACCCCAAAGCAAAATAATTCAACCCCTGCTGAATAAAAGTTTTGACAATAAAAAAGAATACTCCGAATTTCAATATCGCCGTAAGCTAGTCTAAGAAGTAAAAACTATTAATTTTTTAACAAATAATTATTGTGATTTAGCTGTAATTTAGAATAAATAAGTAATTAACAAAATAAAATTTCAGAAACATAAAATCTTGTATAAAATTTCCAATTAATGACAAATCCTTTTAACGTTCAATAATAAATAATGACATTAATTTTCATAATTTTCTTATGACTGACAAGTTTTAATTGCAATTCAAGATAATTTTATTTATGTAGATTAAAATATTAACGTTAACCGAATTATATTGGTTATATATAAAAATAATTTAGTTTACTTAAAATATATAGTCCGTACTGCTTCGGAGTATTCCACTCAACCCGTTCAAGTATAATCGAATTCTAACATTTGGATCGAACGCTTTAAATATACCAAAATGTTGCATTTGATCTTTCAGTTAATCGAATAGTAAACCTGTTATAATACATAACAGAATTACTCGAAGGGAATATAGTGTTCGAAAATATTTGGGTTCGAACCAAATGCATATTTAGACGTCAAAATGTTTAAACTTTCGAAGAGTTCATATATTGTATTTAAATAACTAGTTTTATAAAATCTAATCTATTTCAGTTTATACTGCATTTTTATATGGTATCCTTGAGTTACTTGATCTATAAGAGCTAAAATAAACAATATATAACAGTTTAAGTAAATCAGGACAAAATACTGCAGAAGTACATAAATATATCGGTTAAAGTTGTAATTATTATTGAAGTTAATTTTATTTATTAATAATATATTTATATACTAAAATTATTATAAGCTTTAAGAAGAAAGTAATGCCTAGAGGGGACGCGATCAACACTGGCGCTCAAAGAGATCAAGGCTTTCTGTTTCGATCCATCTAAAAGAGAAACTTGCTGAGTAACTACACACAGTTATAAACAAATAAGATGGTTACCAAATTAACCTATACCCATTAGCCTATTAGCCTGAACTTAGGTTAGTGAAGGTGCTAGTTGACACCACCTTGAATAAAAAAATAAATAAAAAATAGAAAAAAAAACTTTTATGAAAAAATAAAACTCATAATGAAGTCAAACTATGATATAATTATTATAATCACAATCATTATTTTGAGAATAATGATTTTAAATTTTTTCGGACCGAAATCGTTACCGATTCGATCATGTATCAATGTCAATAAGTATCAATTCTTTATGCTGGCAATTCTGAAGCAAAATATCTTTTCAGTACAAAGATGTATATGTATGTATATTTATCTTTACTTGCGATTTTTTTAAAGTTAATTTATAAATCAGTTAATATTCATAAAACTAATCTACTATGTAATCATAAGTATAAGTATATAATTATTGAATATTGTTTTTATAATAACTTTTCCTTGTAAGTTAAATGAATTACCAAACAGCAAAAAGGCAGATATAATATGTAATAAGGAAGGGAATAATTGAAAAAAAATATTTAATAATTTAGGATAAATTTAAAAATATGTTCAAATATTGCTAACTATTATTAAATTCTGGACTTTTTTTATTTAAACAATGTTTTTCTAATTTTTATTATAAGTACAATGTGAATACATTTCCTAGGATAATTTTAACTTGTAGTCGTAGAATCTCAATAGGTAAGTAATTAACTTTCAAATCGTTTTTAGATTGTTTATATAGAATATCCAATCTATTTGAGTTTATTTTAACTTTATTTTATTTTATTAGTTATTTTATTTATTTATTTTATTTCAACTATTATGTACACACTTCGGACTTTTATGTCCGATGTAGCGTGCGATTCAAATTACTATATTGGATTTAGTTTGCGAAATAGCTATGATGAAGATTTTGATATTTATATTTTTTAGTGTCAAATGCACTAGTCAAATATCTTACTTGGGAGATCTTACAGTACTGGATCAATGTGAACTAATTTTTGATTACTTGTAGGTATATAGTTAGCAATAGTTTCGCTATTATTTTGTATACGTTTGTTTTCAAAACGATGTGATTTCAAGATTGTTCTCCTAATCACGATCAATCGTTCAAACTTACAAAAAAGTTATTTGTTCAATAAACATCATTGATGGCTAATTTACATCACCAAAATATATACTTACACATCCGTTAAATTTTTCATGCAGCAAAATCTAAAGAGTGTTGTATAGGTTGAAGTAGAGTTTTGTTAAATCCACATATCTACCATGTCCATATCATCAATTAGTAAACATATAGCCATCAGAATTGGTGGTTTGTATTCTACCTTTGTTATTTTTATGTGCGGTACTATCATACCTCTAGATCAATGATATCTTGAATGATATTTTTGTTTGACATATATCAGAGAAACAATACTGACAAATTAATATTCAGACCAGTGTTTCTAGCATTCATTTGCGCTTTTAAACCTTCCATTTTAATACGATGAAGCTTTGTTGGCTATCGTTACCATGCATGACACGGTTTATATGTTAGAACAGTTAAACCTGTTATAGTTTGAAGTACATTTTCACTCAAAAATATTTCCAAAAATTATATTACAAGAGAATGATAAAATATTGTTCCTCACATTTCAATAAACATTAACATTTTTTTAAATTACCAAATAAAACATAATATAAATTGGGATTTTATAGTAAACCTAAAAATACGTGTAATTATGTTCTGGAATAAGAACCTATTAGTTTGAGAATAGAACTTGAAATTAATTATAAATCCTAAGATGAGTTGAAAATCACTTTTTTTTTTTTGAAAATCAGGAACGTATTCAGATACTCAATTTTAAACTTTTTAAAAACAAATCAAAATTCAAAAAAAAAATATTATGGAAAAAAGTCCATTATATCTAGTAATAAAGGATTTGAAATATTTTAGTGGATTTTGAACCCTAATAACCGCTTTTGAGTATACCACTGTTAAGGTTATTAAAATCGTATTACGGAATATCTCAAGGAGCTGTAGTATTCTGTATTGTAAAATTTTAAAATAGGTGATTGTGTAGAGTACTAAGAAGAATCAAAATAATGCAATGTCATCCTAAAATAAATCCACTCTTTATTTATATCTAGAGAGTTTGCAAAAGCTAGAAATATGATAAATACACACTTTTATTTAACTGATATAAGGAAGAAAACTAAGTTCGATATACTTTACACAGTCATAAAAATAATTCGATTGTGCTGAGGAAAAAACTTAACAAATCAATAGCGGTGGAAATAAGTCCTCAGAAAATATTTGGGGAAGCTATCATATAGAAAGCAAACTATTCAAAATTACGCCCAATAAGTATAGTTGGATGTTTTCAACTAAAATACTTCCGGCATAAGTAAATAGATCCTCCAAACGCATTCGATAAGTAAATCCTGAAGATGTAAGATCTATTTGGCGTCCAAGGCAGACATTTAAAGATAGTGTTTTAAGGAGTACTAGAAGAAGTGGAAAATGATGAACGTAATAAGAAAAAGAACACACAGCCGATTAAAATGAAAGAGATTTCACTAGTCCCACTCCATGCTTTAAAAGTAATAAATGGTTTGATAAGGAAGTTTTTCATAAATTCGAATAAGAGTTGAAAATTCAAAGAAGTGACTGCCAGTAAAGGGTTAAAAGTATATAATTTAAAGATAATTTAAAGACTTATACCAGTATCAATTATCAAATTAATTAACATTTTTGGCGAGCTTTTGTGTTCATTATTATCAATTTTCACATATGTTAAAATATTTGACAAAACAATTTAAAGTGGTTATTACATGTGGTATGAGGAACAATCGTTTATAACATTGGAGAGGTAAATACGAATACACATTCCTTAAATAAATGTTTATTTAAAAACAAATCATAATTCAAGACATTGATTGTATTTTTAATTAATTTTTATAAATTTCTTTAATATTTGATTTTTTCGACTTAATATTTTAGCAGGTGGTTCAATTTTTGTTTCATGAAATATTTTGAGAAAACCAGCTTTTGATAAAAAACCTCAGGCACGAGCCAAAATAAGAAACAATTGAAAAAAAAACTTTCGAAACTAATTATAACTTCAAAAATAACTTATGGGAGCACGTGATAATTGAAGGTTCATGATGTTCACGATGACATGCAGTTTGTTGTGGGACCAACCACTTGGTCTCTGATTGGCTTTGAACTAACATGTTAACATTTGTTTATATCGTGAAGTTCAAGTTCTCAATTTTTTGGTTTTATTTTTACACATTATAAATAATATATATATAAAAAACATTTATTGCTCTCAATTAAGGTAAACAAATACAGTGGACCTTAACATACATAAAAGAAAATGTTTAAAAAATTTACTTCTCTATAAACACCCATTATCTATTTGCATTTAATAGAAGTACTAATATATAAACAGGTCTCAATAACCACTCCTCACAGCAAGTAAAAGGATTTCTTTCTACACTATATTGTATTATATTCGTTCGTTTTTTATATAGTATTTAATAAAATTAGATCATAACCTAGAATAGTTCACTTTTTAGTGCACGGTATTTTACACCCCTGTAACCACTATTGTAAATAAAGGATGTACTGAAAAATATACCAAAAATACCGGAAACAAAAAACATTTTTAATTGGCATGACAAAGTGAATCAATTCCACGATGTATAACTGTTTTTCTATTTACACGTATGTATGATTGACTGTCAGTCTGTTTATTTATCAGGTAGCTATCATGCAGTTTCTATTTGGTAGTTCGGATAGAAAAATTGATTTTTTTCGAAATATATAAACTGATAGATAATTATAATTATCCATCCTATGTGCAGTAGGTAGAAAGGTGAAGAAAAACGAGGATATAATTTTCGATAGAAGGTTTGTCATTTTAATATATTGTTGAGTGAATCAAAGAATAGGGCACCCGTAAGTTAAGCATCGATCCGGATAAGCCTGGGCAATAACACAACAGTTTTTCTTGAGTTTTTTCGTTGAGAAACATGACTTATAAAAGTTTTGTCAGGGCAGGAACAGCTCAGCTCCATATCGTACAATTGTATATTTCTGTGAACTAATATTACTTAAGATATGTTCAACTTTTTGCTGTAAATTCAGAGATTCCACAATTAGAT